CAGTCTGAAGGTTGCTGATGTTGTCAGCTGGAAATCCAATTATTATCTGCAACATGTATCACAAGAGAACCACAAAATCGAACAATTAGACACCAAGGTTTATTCTTCAACAGAATTAAATAGAGACACTGAAATGGGAATATACCGAGACACAATAATTAGGAAATGTATGGAATCGGAACAGTAGTGAATTGACATTCACTCCGTGGAGAAAATTTTCCATGGGCGCGTCGCCTGACTCGTAGACAGTGTTTGTCAGCCTAGACACGGTAGAATCGTAAGTGAAAAATGATGGTCTGGGATGATTACTAATTACTTCACTGGGTAAACAAATGCGGATGAGTAGATGAGACAGAGACAAAATGACTAGGTATCTTTAGTTCCAAGTCGATAATAGTAAATAATCGTTCACCTGCAACGTCCTTTCGGCACTTCGTGAAAAAATCGTTCAGCTGTAGCACCATGCCACCCGAAGGTTGCACAAGGGCTGGGATACTGTCAGGTTACCCAAGCCTAGACAGGGGAAGTCGAGGGGCAGAGGTCGGGTTCGAACCGAGGATCTTTCGGTCAGTAAACGCGCGCTCTGATCACTGAGCCATTTCGTTCCAATTCGTGACGCTGTTTGTAGTTGCTTCTGCTACGCTGTTGGCAGGAGATTACAAACGTTGTAGTAGTCAAGTATTCTGGTGGGTAAATCAGTGTCGTCATGCAATCATGACTGTAAGGAGGATAATTCCGGTGGATGCGCTACGAGGTCAGATTTTGTATCGGGAACACCATCCGAAAAGACAACAGACGGATTTGGCGTTCGCGCTGGACCTTTTGATTATGCTTTAACTCAGGAATGAGGATTTAGGACCCAAGTACAGTTGTTGAACTAACCTATTTATCAGCTCCCGCTCGCTTCTGGTTGCGCACCTATGGTGATTCGGAAGCCGTCCCTGGGACTGGCACTGTTCTAAGTCCGCAAACTAAGTGGTCTCTGTTTAAATGGTCGCCCGTTGATAGTCGTCTCCATGCGGTTCGTTTGGCAATGCCTGTAAAAGTATCCCGTAAACGTACCGGTAATCTCTGCGAGTTCACTTTATCTGCTAAAAGTCCCAACAGAGTGTAGGTGTGATACACTCAAAGGCAGCTTTTACGGAACTTTGAGCACCTTATTGCGGCTGGCTAAGAGCTCAGATATTGTCACCATTATAGGGAGTATCAATGCACAAGTAGGTAGACTTGACGCCGCTGAGGCACAATTGGGTAGTCGTCCTGGACTGAAATCGAGACGCACGGACAACGGCGAACGCGTTGCAGTTGTGCACTGACCACACACCGTTTCTCTCAGCACTTACTTCCGAAACCGCTAGGTCACATGGTAACCCGTGCATGGAAGCGAACCTCCAGTACAGACGGACCACATCGTTATTAGCCACAGGTGGCAGGGTTCAATCCCTGACTGTCGCTCACTCTGGAATTCCTGTGTGGATTCGGATCACGCTACTGTTCGTTGCTGCTCCTCGTCGCCCTTTTCAGGGGCGCGCAAGATGCACACACCTCGCCTGTCAATTGGGAAACTCTCAGACCCTGAGGTGAAACATCATCACTGACATAATGCCATCAGTGTTCAACACTGATGCTTGGCTGCCGTACAATCACGATTTATTTGGAAGCCTAATTGTGAAGAAAAGAATAAAAGTGGACGGGGAGAGAATTAGTGCTAGCTTATTACAGTCATTTTGAGGTCATGCTGTCGATGATGATGATGACTTACACATTCTAATATGTATGAACCGACGTAGATAGTGGATGTTTCTGTTTCTCACACTGTAAGGATGAACGCGTAGCTGTTGTATAAGGATTTCAGGATAACTCGGTTTGTCTTCGGAGAGCGGTGCTAGAGAGAGTTCATATTCTGAAAGCTGTCGGGCTGACGTACAACTATTTCAGTCATATCTGGATATTCATTGTCCCTATCGGATTCAGACAGACAGAGAACGTCGTCTGAACTGCTGGAGCTAGACGGCGAAGGGATACGGTTTCGATTCTTCCGCCTCGATGAGTAAAATATGCGCAGTGCGGGTTGCAATTCAGGAGGTCGACTTCATCTGCTAGCGGTTAGCACTTGAATCGCTCAGCCGTAGCACCATTTAGGTGCTAAGTGCCATGCCACCAGAAGGAAGCACGAGTGCTGGGATACTGCCAGGTCGCCCAAGCCTAAACAGGGGAAGTCAAGAGGCAGAGATCGGGTTCGAACCGCGAACCCTCCGGTCAGTAAATTCACACTCTAACCGCTGAGCCATCTTGTGGGCACTCGGATGACTTATCACCTCGCTGCAATAGGACTGAACCACGGGTGTTCAACAAAGATGATGGGAAAATTCAAGAGTTTGGGCAACGTGCGATTGAACACGGGTTAACATCGCCAACGGAGTACGAGAGGTTCTTGCGATGTGGAGAATGAATAAAATGGGTGATTCCTAGATCAGTCATGAAGTTCCGGGTAAAATTAAGGGGGCTTTCCAACAGATTAATCGTGTCGATCCAATCCATCCCCAGGAGATTTCGTTGATGGCACGACATCAGGTAGCATGTGGCTTGTGCCGTCGAGCTATTGAAGTTTATGGAGAATTCAACCTCGCTAGGCTATTTCAGTTTACCACCAGGGCCCAAGGTTCGGTTGGTTTCACGTGCGTCTTACCAATTCATTTCCACGTTCGTTCACTGAGCAGCTTGATGTCGGAGCCCGTATCAAGCTGCAAACGAACTGGGATTTGTTCATACGAATCACCAAGAACTTTTTTCGGCAAGCTAAATCAGCTTCAAGTGTTGCCGTCACTGAGTTGAACCGCGGTTAGCTGTACTATAATGCGCGGGTGGCTGCGATTGAATCGGTTGGAAAAGCAAGAGGTTCACCGGTACTGGCTGCTCCTGTCTGGATATGCAGTCTCTGAGTCAGTGATTCAATGAGCTTCGGCTGAGCTTCTTCAGACTGCTTTTGTTGTTGCTGCAATAATTCACGGAGCTAATTAAATTCGATTGAAAACCATGGGTTCCTGTTCGCCAACTGTAGTTACGGTGTTTTCCTCAGCTTAATTCTCCGTCTAAGCCACCCTAGCTAGCGTTCACGTCAAAATAAAAAACGAAAGGGACACAAAGTAAAGCAAAGTGTAAGCGGTGACAACCTTGTAGACATTCTGACGACTTCTGAGAGCGCCATTAGCAACCAGCCATCGGCTGCAACTGGCTGTAACTCAGCTGCTTGAGGTTCATTTACGCCAGAAATGCCAACCGGAAGAAATCCCATGAAGAACAGCGAGTCCCCGTACTGCAAGAAATCGTGTTACGCGGACTAGATGTAAAGCCATGCTGTACTGATCAATAGAAGTGAAGGTAGTAGGGTGCTTCCTTCAGGCGACCACCATGTCGGTAAATATGGAAGCAGCGATGCTGTCTTTCTCCAAGGAAGGATGGATTAGAAAACATCAGCCCCAGAAACCATACACTGCGAGCTAAAGCGAGACAAAGTAGTTTAGTAATGAATGATGATGCCCTCTCAGAAAATAAACCAAATATACGATACGATGTAGTAGGTAAGTCCGTTTACCTGTCCCAGCGGCCGCTGACGAAACCACTTCCTGAAATGGGAAAACCAGGGCAGAGTTTGCTCATCTCGGACATTTGCGGCACCCACGTGACATCGGCATGACTGTCAAGGGTGGATTACATAATTATGCAGAGGTGTGACCACTGCGGGCGGATGACGTTCGAAGGCTCCACGCATTTGATCATAGGTGCCTTCGAAACACTGCACGAGTTCGATGGAAACACCAGATCAGTACGCGAGATGGTCTTCTGGAAAGTTAACTCTCCCTCAATAGATCAGCACATTGGACATGTTACGCACTTCACGAGCTCGACGGAGACACCAGATCAGTACGCCAGATGGTTTTCTGGAAAGTTAACTCTCCCTCAATAGATCAGCACACTGGACATGTTACGCTGAATAGTCCATGTACTTCGCACGCCAGGGGATCATTCGCCCGGTAGGGCCCACTTCGCCCAGCCTTGTTTCGGATCGACACAACCTTAGGACATCAGACCATGACCTGTCAACGAAGTATGAAAGACCCTACCAGTCAACTCAGTGGCGTTTGTAAATGCGTGTACACAGAATTGTGCGGGCAAATGACACTTCCATGAGGAGGAAGAGGGTTTGGTTTGACTCAAAAGTCTGACCCACGAGGGGGTGAGAGGATGTGGAGCTTTTGTCCGGAAACCCTGTCCCTAGCTTCGGATTTAAAAGTTTGGACGCGATGCAGCAAGCAATAGGGTATTCTTTGGGAACCCTGCCCGGAGCCGATGAATCCATAGCCTAAACTCCTCGGTCGCAGAAAGTTGGTTTAACCTGAGGAATCAGGGAGTAGGGCATAACTGTCTCACTCATGATGCGGCTGCGCAAATCAGGTGCCTTTTAACCGGCACCAAACTCTTTGGTTTTAAAAGTATTTTGACTGTATTAGGTAATGCGCTGGCGGTCGTGGGCAACCGCTGGGCGATCGGTATGCGACCGTTCCTAATCCGTCCTTCCTCGATGGAAGGCAGCATCGCTGCTTCCATGAATATAGACATGCTAGTTGCCTAGGGGAAGTAACTTATTACCTTCGCACTCTTACCGCAGAGGAGAGTACGACTTTACCCCCAGACAACCTGGTAGCCCGATTACTCGGAGCACGGGGTCTGACTCGGTCTAAATGCTCCCCTTTGATCTTCCTGGCACGCTTACACCTTATGGAATGAAGTTCCAGTCAGTGTAGTCTGCAGCACTCAAGCCCGACTATCACGTTAATGAGGTAGCTTTAGGTCTTCAAAAAGGGCACGCGGACGTTGTGGGAAAACAACCGTGGCATGTACCCTGTGTACCAATCCATGAGTATTAGCTCACTTCTCGCACAAGACCTCCCCAGCCAGTTTCTGCAGCAGGAAACTCACCGGGTACACTTGATTTTTCGAACGTACACAATGGGTCACACACCAAGTACAGCGCGTCGTCCTCAACGGGCGTATGGCGAAATCCGTGTCTGGAGGCGTCAACAGGCCGACACTGGGAGCTGATTGGCTGTTGATTCCGCCAGTCACGGATTCACAGATTCACAGGATCCAGCTTTTCGCCCAAGGTACCCGCGTCGGTTTTGTTCTTGTTGACAGCGGCTGTCGTCCACCTGAACGGCATAAGTGATAAAAGGGTGTGGCAGTGCTCCTTAAATTCTCAGCAAGACGCGTTTCGTAGACCACGGAGTTGAGGCCGGCAACCATGTTCGTAACGGCTAGCTGGGCGCACTCAATGGGGTTTGCATCTTTCGTGCGTCATGATTAGACACCTTGGTTGGCACATTCAAGGAGTGGTCTGATGTGGGCCCCAAAGAGCATTTGGAAGTTTGTGCGAGTAATACGGGAGAAGACGCGCCAAGTCATCCGTAGAATGCCGATTGCCTTATGGGCCAACTTTTAATGGTGTAGTAAGAAGGGCATGTTTGAAGACAGCCAGATACCCAGAACGTTTTCGACATCTATCCCTGTAGTGGCTTCTGCTTAGTCCTCACCATGCATCACAAAGTCATTCAGAGGAAGATGCCAGTCCGACGACCATTATTTTGCAGCGTCCACTGAGAGTTCGCCTTGATGGTCGACACGGCCAACGGCCCGCTCGTTCTATTACCCATCTGAGTTTTATGCTTATTGGCTACTATGTGAGCAAGCTGAACGTGATTGCAGATTAGAATTCTTCCTGATACTACGGGACACCAATTGATCCAACAGTAGATAGAACTGGAAATACGAACAGAGGTGTCAATACACTCACTTAGTCGCATAGGGGGATAGGTAGCGGCAGTTTTCTTCAAAGCTCGAGGTAAGATGAGATTCAGTCCATTTGCGCTGCACTAGATGTCTTGAGGAGTAATCTTCAGTACTCATGGTCACCCTATTAAATGAGGCCGCCCACCAGGAGGCAACTGTGCACAATGGTTCGATCTCAACTTACTTTGAATTCGGAAAGTGCTTTAGCATCAGCTACTTAAATCAAAAACGTAGTCAGCAGTCTGGTTACGAGGCCTTAGATTCAAAACACCCAAGGTGACCCATCAGAAACAAGCGTGCGCACGCTTTCGTTTGACCGAAGAGCTGGAATGACGTTTTAAGCATAGGGCGTTGACTTACTCAGGGAACCTCGTGGACCAGTAGTAAGTCGGCAACAAGCTTCAATATCACAGCCAGAAACACCACACATACATGCGGCGACCATTTCATTTGGGGGAGCCTAGTCCTACGAGTCGGATTTTTGATCGGTTTTATACTCCCATTTCTCTTATGAGGACTCGTTCTACCTACGTCCAACGCTGGAAGCCATACAAGGTCCATGGAAAATTCACGTTGATTTTTCCGCACAGAGGAAAATAGCTCTTATGAAGAAGCTGATTGTTCAGGGGTGAATTCCGCTGCCAGAAGACTCGATGTCTTCGATTGACTATCGGCTTCTACTGTCGGTGGCCGAGGATAAAACCCTAAACCAGATGGCGGTCTGCGGATAAAGACTCGGGTTTTCGTGTGCTTTATGATCAACCGACGAGTAACAGCGACCACCTGTGGAACGGACTGCGCCTCATGTCATGTTGGCTGTTGTGATGGTTTAACTTGCCAGCCGTGCGGTGCCGCTCTTCAGACTTGTCCCGAACGTCAGTCCGCTGACCATCGAATAATTTTTGATACCTCGCCCCGGCCCGCAAAGAAAGTGCATAGATGTGCTTGATAAACTGCCCACAAGCAGAGACTTGGACAACGGCACAGATCTCTAACGCAATGTGCCCCGGAAGTCTGTGTGTCCCCGTATTTTTGGCTTCAAACAAGAGCTAATTGACAGCCTTGAGTTATTAGAATAACACTAGTACCACTTCTGAAAAACGCCAGTCAGCGGTAAGAGAAGACGACAATTTCGGGGGACTCTTGAAAGGCACATTAGTTTAAGAGTACTCTTACCTTAACGAGACATAATACATTTAGTATAGGTGTCGTAATTCTCCAGGCCTAAAGGTCAGTGGGCACGAAGCTACAAGAAAAAACGCACTTCGAATCACTGCTAAAGGAGGGCGTTGTCTAGACCTACTTCCACGAGATTGTCACCACTAAAGTGCCCCTTTTAAAAAGTAATCATGGATTTCAGTTTGTCAACCACCACTAAATGAAACTACCAATAAGACTGAAATGTTCATCTCGTACGCTCTCGCAAGGTGGCTTTTCTCAGCCGAGATTGTTGGGGACTTGTCGCCCAGCTGGTTAGGGCCTTTACTCGTATGCAAGTCACGTGCGTCATTTAGGTTTGTTCATCTGTCAGAAATGACCGACTAAGTTTGCACGTAGCTAGATGACTAGCCCTCGTGGACATTATTATTTTCACTCTGATATCAGGCGGTGCATCAGAAAGCTCCACCTGTGGCCATGGGAGACGACCATCTGTAGTCTTACGTCCTTGATATCCGGTACGAGTTTTGGGATCGAAATTCACGTGTATATAGCGGTAGTTTCTCAGAGCAGCTAATCACGGGGGCCGAAAACGCATGATACGTCGTCCGTCTAGTCGATCACAAGGCACGAGGACAAATTTAGCTGCAGGAATGAAAATCCGACAGATTTTGCCTCCACAAGTACAATATGGGCTCTGGCAAGTTCCATAAAACATTACAGCCGCAGAGCTACTTACCGATTCTGCCCATTCTAGTGGACTCATGTTTATCCCAAGTCGAATACCTCATTCGAATTGTGCATTTTTTCATTTCGACATGGCAGATAACACTGAATATTCTCTCACTTGAACAAATGAACCATACAGATAATATGGAGGACAGTTCATTAGACAGACGTTCTTTAACATTAGGTGATGACCTTGAAAACAGCGCAGTCTTTCAGAACCCGATTCTAGGGTCGGCTTGTGTTTCTCCGCAGTATGGCGTGGGATTTCATGAAGTTGCTGATATTCAACGTTCGGGAGGATGGAATAGCGGTACACGCCGGTTTCGAAATGTGAAGACAAGGCATTTGATATCACTGGAACTACAAGGGACTCAGAGCACATATTTGCGCAGATTGGGTGATGCAGTAGAGAAGACCAGAGCAAAGCAACAACATGCGTGTATTGAAGAAGAATCTACAGGCACAAGTCATGTATGGGTACAGCAACAGCTCAAGGTCACTTAAAGAGACTGCAATCGGGCTATTGCTTCTTTTCTGGGGCTTGTCGGGTGCACCTGAGACAGGAAAAAATGATAGATGGACACATGTTAGGTTGTACGATGAACATTTGTAGGCATGTACAGTAAAGCTTCGATTGCGTTATAGCGGCGGCATTCGGATTTCGCACCGTCTAGCCATTTTCTATTACAAAAGCGTCGGCATGAGCCTACATATCGCTACCGCATTCGTCATTGCTGGTCTATATCTTCTGCTCTACGCTTTGAGGCACGCCGGTCTGTTGGCTATGGATGTTAACACCATGCCCAATGTGTGGAATCCTTTATTGGCGCTCCTATCGCTCACGCTTGCTTCATGAGGAAAATCAGAAATCTTGCTCCACACTCCTGGACGAAACTACTCAGATGACAGTGTGCAACGCCGTTTGGTCCTCGCCTCAACTACTGCAAGATGTGGTGAACTAAAGATGGTATACCAAGTATGTTCTCGTAACACTTAATACCCGTACAAATGTCAATGCCTGAAGAGGCGGGCTCACAGTTTTGAACCCCAGTTGCCTGAACAACTCGGGATCATATGACTTCAAGATCAATGCAAGAAGAGCCTCAACGGAGGTACGGATGGCGTGCATTCTCGTATCCTAGAAGGTTGGAGCATACATCAAAATGGAACCGGGTTTCTCGGCTATACCTTGAACCCCAAACTGTTTGCCCAAAACCATACATAAATTACCGTGGCACAGCAGCGTGAAATCTGGATTCGCAGCATTAGCTGATTTGTTGGAACGATCCACCAAATTTGCCAGGCGCTTTTATCGCTGAAGTGTTCCACGACGACGAATCCATACAAGCCAGCGCGAACAACAAATTTTCATATGTCGCACTGTTCCACAACCTCGTGGCCTATATGATTTCAGCGGAAAACTCTGGGTTTTACTAGAAATTTCTTCCCAAGTGGAATGTTTCTAATCAATGTATGATCAACCTACTTCTGTTGAATCAACTGCAGGTCCCGGCGGCCCTAATATAAGGTAATTCCTCTTCCCATTTTGCATCAGAGACCTTCTCCGCCTCAGCCCTTTATTTCTTTGCAGACGACCTGAACTCTCGGGTTTCGGGCACTTTAACCTGACGTTTACTTTATGAATCCGTAGTCACTAAAATGGCACTTTCTTCTGAAATGCAAAGAATGGGCTCGTGTGTTGTCTGTTTAAAAACCCTGGCATGCATATTATGAAGATGTTCTGAAGCCAGTTGTGAAAAAAATCACGGTAGATTACTCTCTTCATGAGTGCGTTTTACACCCGATCACGTAAAATGAACATGACAAATTTATTTTTCTCCAGGTGGTTTCGTGCACTTTGCCTAAGTAAACTTACGGATATACATCCTGCTGTTTATCGACTTTTTAGCACGTGAAACAGGTTATCAACCCAAGGGTTGGCGAAACTTTGACTGAGCATATCCTAGGGACGTCTACGAGGATCGTCCCCAGAACACAAATCGACTATGGAATGCCTCTGAAGATACGTGACCTGTTTACTCTACAAAACGGTTGATCCAAAGGAGACCCGTCCCCTACTGAAGTCTATGAAGCTGGCGATGGTCCGGTAAAATTTTGGCCACTTACAAGCGGGTCAGACATGGTGAAAATCTCTTCAAAGCTCCCATTACACCAATAATAAATACCTCATCTCATTTCTGATGGCAATGCGCGGAATAACGTACCTTTGAATGATATTCACGCTGTACCTGGAACAATGTTAAATCAAATTTCAGGGCTCCATCGTATTGGAAAGCTTATTGTCCGGAGCTGCAGGAATAAAGGGTGGTGAAATACCCCTTGTTCGCTTGTATCCGTCGGACTAGAGGCCAGCATTCTCCTCCATAGCACATTTGTTAGTTTGATGAGCACTAGATAAACGTGTTCAGGACCTTTTGAGGCTCCATGTGGTGGTTCTCTTCTTCAAATTGTCTACATTTTTAAACGGAGTGAAGCCTCCTCCGCTGTAGTGAACATGGCCTTTTGGAATGTGGGTATGCCGTTCAAGAAGCTCATTGCGCTCACACACACCTGTGCCACTGAAGTCCCTCAAAAATTGCCTGTTTTAAAGTGAGGCCTATATAATCACGGAAGGGATATGAATTGTCTTGTGACATCTCCGATTAGTAGGTCACCCGGATTCATGGGCAAATAAAACGAAAACTGAGCATGTTCCTAGTGTGCACCTCGCTGTAATAGTTGAAAATAAACCGTATCTTGTGTTCGCACCTGATGTTGCCAGGAAAGCTGGTGAAGACAAGAAACGGTGGCCAGATTAGAAGCCAGCAGATACTGTCCAAATTTTCATCCTTTACAATTTCCAAGCAGGCGTGCTCTTCACTCCACCGTTAGCGTCGCTTTGTGGCCCCATTCTTCTCTCTCCGTTGAAGATATTCCAGGTTTACGAGCACGAGTGATTGTTGGAAAGTTTCGGCTGCTTTACGCACATTGGCGGGTGTGTTGCAGGAGCTTAGTAATTGGTATTTCATTCTGCAAGGCAATGAAGTTGTACGCTTGTAGACAGATTTTGGTCTTTTCTTTCCAGGCTTGCTTCTTCTCGGTAGCACCTGCTGACGGATGACGGTTTTCGGCAATGCGCAAAAGTATTTACTCAACGCTTTCAGTCAGCGGTATATTCAGCGCGCCTGCAAGAGCATTTGTGCAGGCCGGGTCTTGCCATCGGTTACATTTGTCACAGCGTTTCACAGCCATCTTCACCGACTACGCGTAGGACAGCAGTCTATCGACTACATTTTTGCTCGCGTGCCCTGGATCAAGAAGGCAATTTTAACCTCCAGGAATTTTGCTCGAGCCTGATTATTTTTCAGATGAGTGAGTTCGTCGTTAGAACAAGTTTTCAGGCCTGTATCCGTTGCAGCCTGTGACCTCCGGGGATCAGGAGCGCTTATTGCTCACCAAAGTGAAAAGAATGTTTACGTCAATTTTCGAAACACGCAGATGAGAAAATCGTTACTAGTAGAGCTTTGTAATAGAACACAAACGCGGCGGCTAAATAACACGAACATAATCCCAGGCGAAAGATGATGGCACATTTATAGTGAATCAGAAAAAGTTGGCTCATATGAAAAAAAAATAACTTCCGGTCACTCAACAAATTTCTCTACTAGCTTCGGCATAACTCAGTTTGCACAGATATAATAATAGAGAGCCCCTTCATCTAGCTAGATGTGTTAGTTGCCAATGGTCCCAGGCTGTCTTCTACCAGTCTGCAAACCCGTTGCTGTCTCTTAGCAGACCGACAGATTGCGGCTCTACCCTATCGGCGCCCTCCGGATACCATATTGCATTTATTGTTAGTCATCACAGAGACTGTTTTAATCACAGCCAAAATTTCCTCTCAACGGACGCGCCTATATTACTACGACCACAAACTTTAGCTTACTTTATCGTGCCTCCCCACCTCAGAAGAACTTGAATTTTTTTTACCTGATTCCACGTTTTATTAGCGTCCACCTCGGATAATGTAGCTTTGTCCAACTTGTTTGAAAAAGGCATGATGATATTATGCTGAAAAGAATCAAGTGGGGGGAGAGGATTTCACCGCGCTTGCATTAGAATGTGTCCTGTCAAGATAGGTTGACCTGTCTTGAGATATTCTCCCCTGATATGTACGTTGGTGCGCGTCCCATTCCAACAGTGGTTTCTTTCGATTTCAATCTCAGATTGGTTTCTTAACCATATCTTATTTTTTAAAATAAGAGTTGGGTCTTTAGCGGTACAGGAGCTCCTACGAGCTCGCATAATCTGTGCTGAGCTGCTTGATGCTCTAGGTGGTACTTCTATCAAATGTTAGCTTAGTAAAACAAATAAGGCTTGAGATGTTGCTTCTGATTTATACCAGAACGTCTAGCACTTTTCAGCAATATTTAAAAACAGTACTAGAGGCCTTGGCCATCCCTATGGAGAATTATTCACTCTTGCACCAAATCTTTGTTTATAATTACTAACAAGCACTTTTCTTGGAAGATTATAAACTACTTAAAATTTTCGGTGGCTTGCGAAGCGCATTTGCGCCGTTTTTAGGCTCATTTGGCTTAAGGTAATTCCGTTTTCGGACTCGTGAACCTACGTGCCATTTACATCAGAAGCCAAAAAAATTTCCATGAATACGAGCTCTCATTCAGCTTACGAGCACTGATGGATTATAATTTTATGGGGATCGATATGTCAATTTGGTAGCTATACCTGACAAACGCGCTGGAGTGTAGCCTGCACAAACAAACCAGATTAAAGCAGTAAACGCAACGGTTTTGTGAAAAATTCATTGATTCACAGGGTCGGACTCCGTTAGGGCTATCTACCGGATATCGTGAGCAGCTAGTGAATAAATGCTGAAACTCATTCTTAAGCTTCAATGGCCTCCTGTGTTCTGTTTTCACGGAGAAGCTTCCAAAATTTGCAACCCGTTTAAGATAACATCATCTTTTTCATTAGTTTCTCGCCATACCCGCGAACTCATTCACTTTTACACATATATCAAGTCAATGGATTTCAATGGGTCAGCTACCCCGTAAGGAGAGACTGGATTCAGGTTTTGGTGAACACGAACGATATGGTGAGTGAAGTAATATTCTTTTTAAGAAATATTCAGCTTCATTTATTGGCTAAGCTTGACTATTGTCTGATTTCGGCTGGCAAATACGGCGACGTGTTTGAATGCAACAAAATGATAGCAGTTTTGGATATACAATACCGCATGTCTGGTTACCAAGAGAAAAGAAGGAGGCTTTGATAGGCCAGCAATGATGAAACGAATAAAAAGCAATACATACCAAAACCAGAGGTGCACCTAAAATTCTATTTATGTACAAACAACTAACACGACCGCGGAGATCAGTGACAATCAAAATGTCCTTAGACAAAAGTCGTTAAAGCAACCACAAGCTCACATGTATGGGTACATATAATTCCACGTACAATTTCTAATGCCAGGAACTATATACTTGCACACGAAAAAGAGTAGAGGATGCAGTCCAGCTTCAACCGTCACCTCTGCTACACTTTAAATTATGCGCATGGGCAGTATCTGTGGTTGGCTGGTGGTCGTACTACCCGGTTCAATATGTAAAATACAATTACCGCTCTTTCGATGCACAGAATGGACGCAGCATTGCATTCTTTGAAAGCGGTGCGTTACTACTTCGACGATATCCAACTCAAGCAGAATCTGGGCGCCGAAGATTTTGCATCATAGCCCTGAATTTACTGGGTTCTTCAGAATTGTTATCCTCAGTAACCAAAACAGCCTTGCAAAACTCCATCGTAAGTCTATCAAAGTCAGAAAGTTAATATATTCTATTACATTATTGAAAGTGTGAACAAAAAATTATCGACTAAGCCTTTTGAGTTCGTGTGCCACCACACAATATGTGGACAGCGGGGAGTGCCATTTTTCAAATATTCGACCACATCCGCCTCAGTCATTCAACTTTTCACATCGGTCACAACTGCAGGAGAGATGCTTTCTGGAATGAGCGATTTATGTAATAACCAAGCCCTAAATTCTGTATCTGCAACAAAAGTGCAGTGAATTGTTTGTTTGTCGGACTAGGAATCAATAAAAATGGACGCATAGCTGTTCACAATGCCTCTCAAAGCTTGCCCCATTGGAGCGCAAATGTGTATGGCAATTTCTGGTCACCAGAAGATGAAACAGGCATATAAATTAAGCCCCCAACATCGTGCCAACCAGGGTGTAAAAAATTCAGGACGGTAGGTTAACGTGACACGTGCGAAACCACTCGTTCGGTCAAATAGAAGCGGTCGTCAATCGGGATTACTTCCTCTTTTCCACTGAAATAAAAGTCTGTTTAAGGCTCCACAGGAGCATTACTTCCAGAATAATCGATGCTTTTATGTCTCCTAATGCTGGTCAGCTATCCTCTGTTTGAAGCGATAAAGTAAGTGAAAAATCCCCCCGGTACAGTACCTATGGGAAGAAGTAATTTTCACCCAATTTTTAGCACTTTGCATTTTTGAAGCTGTGGCTTCTTCCCTAGTGTCAGTTTACGGTTAATAAGTGCTTTATGGGAGGGAATGATGAAAAAATTTCTCTGGCCAGTTCGCGGATGCAGTTTGCTGCCTCACGGCTTGGCAAATATCTGCAGCGAAGCGCTCTGCCTCTTGCCGAATATCTTTTGATGAAGCACGCAATTCTACATAGTAAAATTCCAGATTTTCACTGCCACTCGTCACCCGTCTCACTCTAAACCTGGCATTTTAGAGAGTTTATACACGAATGCCAGTAGTGTCAAACACACACCGGTTTTCACGCGGTGTCGGTCACTACTTCTGGTAATAAGGCCTTTTTATCAGTGCCACAGACAAAACTATCGCAGCACGTTTACAAAACGTTTTTCACATATATTCAGTTCATCTTGCTTTCATAAGAAGTTCTGTGTCATTGATTTTTTCAAGATGGCACGTTGTTTACTGTCCTTTAAACACCGGTCGAATTGGTAGCCTTAGTCTAAAGTCCGTCCTTCGCATGATCAGACCAAGGTTGTCATAGATACAGTTCTTCAAATCCTCAATAGCTACTCGCATCCTCTCATAAGTATCCGAAATTTCGTCCCATGTAGCTTACCAAACTAGTCCTCTCTGTTTCCGAAATCGATTTCTTTCTACTTGAACCTTGTGACTGGGCGCTGATATGCTCTTCCATTCCGTTGTGCTTTTTATAGTTTGTCTGCCGATTCGACTTGGCAAATGGCTAAGCTCCAACCCGATTAACATTCAGTAATTTAATCCGAGCCACCATCACTTCGACATTTTGCTGCTGCATTCACTATGACAACACGTTCAGCATTAACAGAGCTGTTTCTTATCAAGCTGTCATCAGCAGTATGTGCAGAATATTTCCTTCTAATAAGTATTTTCCTGGTACCTAGACCTGGCTAGACTAGCTTAGACTATTAAACGACGCGCAGTTCACGTTTTCTTCACTTCGTTTTGGGCGTTAGTATACGTTGCGCACATTTGGTGGTTGTTTTTGACGTGGACGCAAGGTTGTAAGGTTCAGACCGAGAATTGAGCAAAGGTAAATACTGTCACTACATCTTCCTAATTGAGGGTTGCGTTTTTGTAGTGTTTTTTGTTTGCCATAAACCGTTTGACTGATGCTGCGAGTGGTAACGAGCTGCTCTCAGTTGTGACAGTCCCAACAATCTCTCGTATCACCCCTGTTTTTATTTTCCATCGAAGAAATCGACGATGACTACAGGAGAAACCTGGTATTGGAAATATCTTCGACTTTATTCAATAACTTTATATTCCAAAGAAATATCATTGCTCATGAAGGCGTCTGTGAGAATAATAATAATATATATCATTTGTGAAGTGTATGGCAAAACAGAGTGACTTGGCGAATGGTAATTCACTTCGCTCTATCCAGTTGGCATTTTGCACGTGGAGGCCGTGGGAGATTTTCCTAAT